GTGTGTGTGGCGCCAGGAGGGGGAAGGAGGGTGTGTGGCGCCAGGAGGGGGAAGGAGGGGGTGTGACACCTAGGTGGAGGGAAGGAGGGGTGTGACACATGGGTGGAGGGAAGGAGGGGTGTGGCACCTGGGTGGAGGGGAGGGGTGTGTGGCACTTCAGGAGGGGAAGGAGGGGGGTGTGACACACCTGGGTGGAGAGAGGGGGAGGGGGTGTGTGTGACACCCTAGGTGGAGGAAGGAGGGGTGTGACACTTGGGTGGGGGGGGTGTGACACCTGGGTGGAAGGGAGGGTGTGACACCCTGGGTGGAGGGAAAGAGGAAGGGTGTGACACCTAGGTGGGAGGGGAGAAGGAGGGGGTGTGACACCTAGGTGGAGGGGGGTGTGACACCTGGGTGGAGGGAGGGTGTGACACCTAGGTGGAGGAAGGAAGGGTGTGACACTAGGTGGAGGGGGGAAAGGAGGGTGTGGCACCTGGGTGGAGGGAGGGTGTGACACCTGGGTGGAGGGGAAGGAGGGGGTGTGACACCTAGGGTGGAGGGAAGGAGGGGTGTGACACCCTGGGTGGAGAGGGGAAGGGGTGTGACACACCTGGGTGGAGAGAGGTGTGTGTGACACCTAGGTGGAGGAAGGAGGGTGTGACACTAGGTGGAGGAAGGAGGGGTGTGACACCTGGGTGGAGGGAAGAGGGTGTGACACCTGGGTGGAGGGAAGGGTGTGTGACACCTAGGTGGAGGGAAAGGAGGTGTGACACCCCTAAGTGGAGAGAAGGAGGGTGTGTGGCGCCTGGGTGGAGGGGAGAGAGAGGTGTGTGGCTGAGTGGCAGGGGAGGGACTGGGTGTGATGCCTGAGAGAGTGTGTGGAAAGGGGGAGAGAGGGAATGTGGTGCCAGGGGAGAGAGAGAGTGTGTGTGTGAGGTGCCCGGGTGGAGGGAGAGAGAGAGTGTGTGGCTGAGTGGTGGGAGGGACTGAGTGTGATGCCTGAGAGTGTGTGTGTGAGGTGCCTGGGTGGAGGGAGAGAGAGAGTGTGTGGCTGAGTGGTGGGAGGGACTGAGTGTGATGCCTGAGAGAGTGTGTGGCTGAGTGGTGGGAGGGAGACTGAGAGAGAGTGTGTGTGTGTTTGTCACCTCGGTCGTGTACTGTAGTGGTGTTGAGTCTGTCACAGGTGCGCGTGCCGCCAACCTCGCTCCTCTGTGTACGTGTGTTTGTGTGTGCCTCCACGCGTGTTCCCTCCACTTGTGAAAATCTATGTGTTGCCTCCACTTGTGTTCCCTTCCACGTACTTCTGCCTCCACCTGTGTACAATTTGTTCCTCCTTTTTTATTTACTGTACTACCCTTGTAACACTGTACTACCACCTGTAACAAAGTACTACTCATGTAATACTACTACCCCCTGTAACATTGTACTACCCTTGTAACACTGTACTACTCCTATAACACTGTATTACCAGTTGTAACACTGTCCTTACCTCTGTAGTATTGTACTACCCTCTGTGGTACTGTACTACCCTCTGTAGTACTTTACTACCCCCTGTAGTACAGTACTACCCCCTGTATTATTGTATTACCCTCTGTGGTAATGTACTACCCTCTGTAGTACTGTACTACCCTCTGTAGTACTGTACTACCCTCTGTGGTACTGTACTACCCTCTGTAGTGCTGTACTACCCCCTGTAGTACAGTACTACCCCCTGTAGTATTGTACTACCCTCTGTGGTACTGTACTACCTTCTGTAGTATTGTACTACCCCCTGTAGTTCTGTACTACCCCCTGTAGTACAGTACTACCCCCTGTAGTATTGTACTACCTTCTGTAGTATTGTACTACTCTCTGTAGTACTGTACTACCCCCTGTAGTACAGTACTACCCTCTGTAGTATTGTACTACCCCCTGTAGTACTGTACTACCTTCTGAAGTATTGTACTACCTTCTGTAGTATTTACTACTCTCTGTAGTACTGTACTACCTCCTGTGGTATTGTACTACCCTCTGTGGTACCGTACTACCTTCTGTAGTATTGTACTACCCCCTGTAGTACTGTACTACCCTCTGTAGTATTGTACTACCCTCTGTGGTACTGTACTGCCTTCTGTAGTACTGTACTACCCTCTGTAGTACTTTACTACCCTCTGTGGTACTGTACTGCCTTCTGTAGTACTGTACTACCCCCTATAACATTGTCATACTCCTGCAGTTTTAACTGTATCACCTCTCTGTAACAGTGTACGGGTGTGGTCGTGGTCACATGACAGCTAGTGGCAGTTAACAGTCAGCATCAGGGGAACGTCAACAAAGACTAAGAGGGAAAGTCCTGTGTTTATCCCCGCTACGTCGACCAACCTCGGCGTAGTGGCTGGGTGGCCGAGTGACCGCTTGTTTGGCCTCAGCGAGTGAGCGAACGTCTCTCGGGTAATTAGCACCAAACGTCACCAGTTAGTGTAGACGGACCATCACCGTCATCGATACTACGTTGTTGTTGTTGTAGATTGTCGGACCATCACCGTCATCGATACTACTACTGTACGCGACCTTTGTAGGACACGGAGCGAAAGGCTCATTGGCCAGCGTTGGGAGGCGCGGGAGCCAATCAGTGCGCTCCGTGGCGTCCTTGAGGGTCGGAAGGAACAGAGGAAGTGTAAGAACGGAAGCTGTTTCACATCAGTTGCCGGTGAGGAACGTGTACGTTCGGGCGTGCCTGCCGTTGCTCTCTGTGGTTCCTGAGTAGTGTTTGTGAGTGTTGGTCGTCAGTCGTGTGGAAGTCCTCCCTGCCCGCCAGGTTATCTCATCACTCGGCGCTATAAACAATGGTTTGACGCTACAACAACCGGTCTCGTTGAAAGTGAAGGTCCGTATTGTCTCCTGCATCAAGAAACAACAATAGCAACCGCTGCCAAAATAAACTGGTAGTATTGTATATATTATCACTGAAAACTGGTGCTGTACCTAGTGACCAAGACCTGCCCGCTGCTGTTTGTGTCACCCTAACTACAGTCTTGTCAACACTCCACACCATGAAGGTAAGTAACAGACACACACTCAGTTCATAAAGAAATAAGTAACAGATTTTAACCAACGCGGCGACCAATAATATAACTTGCCAATAATGTTTTTTACCAACATGACCATTAAAACTCGGTGGGCAGAGCCTTCACCCCGTGTGATTGTTTGTTCGTCTTTCAAGTGACTTTATTATTTTAAACTAATTTTGTATGTTAACAGATTCACAGGAGTAAGTATGCCGAAGCTCCGTCTGAGTCGTGTTTCTTATGACATTTAGTCAGTTGGAATTATCTTGGTTGTCTGAGTGTTGGTAATAAAGAATACATATAAGGTATCGTAGACCAGGCAAGTTATCTACATGAAGTATTTTGTTTTGTGACATACAAGTTGTTAGTGTCATGCAAGTGTGACTTGTAGGAGTTGAAACGAGGTAAAATTCAGTGGTTCATATCGTTGACTTTAGTAAAAAATAACTGAGAAAGTAAGTCGGAGTTGTATGAATCTAGATAAAGAATTTATTGGGTTACGAGAAATGTTACGAGTAAAAGTGACCAGAAAACCAGTTGTGTTGTGTACGTACAAGAAGTGAGTAAAGCTCGGAGGGAGATGACGCGGTGTACTGTTGTGGTCGACCAGCCAGCATATACGGTGAAGCTGGGAGCAAACACTAATATTAAATTCAAAGTTAAGCCTCAGCGCAGTGAATCTTACGTGGTAGTGGTGTCATGCTAAGATGCTTCTACCTGCGGTTAGACTTCGTGCTTTTGATAACATTATACGGTTAAGGTGGAGCAAAAGTCTAGCACCAGAAGGAGTTGTTCGTTTTTGTTCATTTTTTCCACATGTTCTTTGGGTGATAGTAAATAATAAAAACGATACGACAATGCACAGAACCTTATAGAACCTGACCTAATTTCCTAACCGGTCCCCGGACCTCCCGGCATATTCATAAGAACTTACCTTAATATTGAAGTGAATAGAGGACAGTGATGACAGCGAGGAAGTGGTGGAACCTGTCTGGTCCCTGGAAGTGTCTCTAGAAAACGGACTCAGCTTAAAAAAAGTCTCCACATGGTCCGCATTATACGGTAAATAATTTATTTTTTCGCCTACAAAGCATGTTCTTACCTCGTAACATCCCTCTTCTCGCGTGCCTTGCCCAGTGCAGGTGGGTTATGATCGAAGATAGAGAAAAAAAATTAAAATTACAGGAACAAGTTGTCTTATCGTTTTTATTATTTACTATCATCCAAGGAACATTGTGGAAAAATGAACGAAATCGAACAACTGGTGTCAGCTGTCTGCTCCACTATTACCCATTATACATACAAATGATACAGGTCACTGTATCCCAAACAAGTTGTAATATCACAGTCAGCACAGTATAGATAAAACGATCAGCTGTGACGACTCCTGTGTTCACTCTGGCCGGTAATTTGTAAAAGTTGTCGTTTACAGACTTGAGCTTCGTCGTGTAATAACCGTGGCTGGTAAAGCACATTAATATAAAACTAGAACAGTATACAAGAATAAACTCAACAAGGTACAGTACAGAGGTATTAGTGGATGCTAATATACTGCACCATGTGCCAGATGTGGCCACTACACAGGTATGCTCACTTTTAAGACAACACAATTGTGTTCTAGCAAAACTATATTAAATCCTTCTGGATTAATAGCAAACACTTTGTACTTACTTTCTCTGCCGCACCAAAAAAAATGTTTTTAAGTTATTTGGTCAATTTTTACATTCTCTGATAGTCTGACATTTTAAGAAAGTTTTCTTTCTGCATTTACAGGAGTTAGACTGTGGTTTTGATAGAATATACAACATGGCCATAAACCGTGCAGTAATTGCCTCTCGCTCTAGTGTGTACTGGGACTCATAAATGGAGAGTTGCCATCAACCAGCAGCGAGATGTGTGACTGTTACTAGGGTACAGTACCAGCTGCCATGTGTCAGGGGGTCGGTCGTACGGTGAACTATTCTCATATTTGGAGATGCCAGAACTCGTTAACTGACTGACTAGTACAGAAGTGACTTCCAAAATTGAGTCGGAATTACTTGGGACTCTTCCTTCACTGAGCACTACCACACAAGGGACTCGACGTAAGATAACAGTCTTTGTGATACAGAATCTAAACTTGTACAGTAAAGTTTCCCCAGACTGTAAGATGTCACACCTCATAATTATAACTGGCTTGTTTGAGCTACGACACAAACATGGCCTTGAAATTTCTGAGACTCTTTGTAACCATTGTACTCCCGTCAAGGGTTAACTATTAACTTTAGGAGTCTTCTTGTGAATTTTGTTTTTGAACTGTGGATGATGCAGGACTTTAAAGGCGGGATGTTGCCAGACAGAATACCATAATGGATATCGGGAGTGGGTCGACACACGCAATAACGAGCCCTTTGTTTCATTGAATGACTGTTTATCTAGCAATCTCAAGCAAGGGTGAGTGTTCACAAGCAGTAATTATCCCTTTGTGTCAGTGAACGTGTGTGTTAATCAAGCAGGAGGAGGTATTCGTTGGCAGTAATTAGCTCATTATTACTGCAAAGTGTGTGTGTGTTTTTCTCGTGATTTCAATATTTTGTCTTGCTGTCAGTCAGTAAAAGAGGTTACTGTTTTTTCCTTCCCCACTCACCCCTCCCTCCTTTCCTCCGTCCCTTCCCATGTCAGAGATGTTTTTTTTTTTTATATACACGGGGATTAGCCCATCCGGGCACAGGTCACCGACCCACATCGGGGCCTGGAGGAGGGGGGGGAGGGAGCGATAATGTAATAATAATTCATAGTAAATAAAATTTATAATAAAAATACAGTTAAAAATAACAATAAAATAATGATGATAACAATAATAATAATAACAACACTGTAATAATAATATTAATAATAATAAAGAACCATAAAAAGATCAAAAGTGAGAAACAATATATATATGTTGCGTTGTCAATAGTAAGAGAAACAATTGAGACCCTGCAATTGTGTGTAATAATAAAACAAATAAATGGACGGTAAAGTAGTAGTGGGGTAATGATGTGGGGTTCCTCAACACTGTCTACTCCCCTCCGCAAAAAAAATAAATAACTCAATTTTTATTTCGTTTTTATCCATTTAGAAATCAGCATTCCTTGTACAGTCATTCCATCACTATACAGCCATTGCTTAGGAATCTTCCACACAGTTTCCCCATTAAGAGAGAATAAATAAATAAAGAAAATCACTTACTATTATTATTATTTCAGTGTACTAATTCAGGAGACAAAATATATTCTTAAGAAATTTTAACTTACAGTATTAATATAATTGTTCAGGAGGAAGTTAAGTCAGGTAAACTTTGTATATTTTTAATGAACTGTGATATTTTGTTGGACACGGTGGTTAAGACAAGGCAAAGAGAGAGTGAGAGAGAAATATATTTTTAAGAAATATTGTCTGTTTGTTGGGTTATCTGTCTATATATCCATCCATTCACATACCTCTTTATTTATTTATCTGTATATATCTATCTATCCATCTGTTTGTTTGTTTGTTTGTCAGGTTGTTCCACTTTCAATTTTGCGTGCAGTGAATCAAGGGAGGTACAGAATCCTCAAATGCAGGGAAAATAAAAGTGAAAGCAATCTTACACACACACACACAAATTCTCTCTCTCTCTCTCTCTCTCTCTGTTGCTTTCTTGCTCTCCTTTCACGTTAGTCTTGAGTGAGTAGAGGCAGGATAAGAGGACCTCGTTAGTGAAGGATTCTCGGGATAAGAACCACATTTATATCCCCGTCAGCCCCTCTTGTGATTCAGGTGTGTTTGTGGAAGGGAGAGTGAGAGAGGGTGTAAGAGAGAGGGTGGAAGGGAGAGTGAGAGGTGAGGTAAGGTAGAGAGGGGGGTGAATTAGAGGAGACAGGTAAGATAGAGAGAGGGGGTGAGGTATAGAGGGAGGGATGGACTTTTAACACAGGAGGAAAAAAAGAGGAAATCGCCACAGGAAAAGTTTGTGTGTGTATGTGTGTGTGTGTACGTACGTACCAGTGTTTGCAGTTTTATTTACAAGCTCTGGAAATTACACTTCCCCTTCCAGTTCTATTTACGAGTGATGTAAATGTCAGTGACTTTTAACCTCATCTATTATTTACAGGCGAAGGTTTAAGAAATAACAGGGACGGATAATTTACAGACGATGCGAAATGGCTAGTTATCTTTTGTGTTTATGAGCGATAACAAATGACAGTGACTCATAATTTGGGGAACATAATTTACAAGCGCCGATTCGTTCTGTCGTTCTTGTTGATATTGTGTTTGATTTAGGTGCTTCTACTGCCAGGGCCATTGAAGTTCTTGCTGGTAACTTGCGCAATTCAGAGGATCACATGAAGATTAGGCACCCCAGCTTATTTTACCTGGTGATTGCGCACCCTCTCTCTCACCCCTTCCCCCGTTTCTCCCCCACCTTCTGCTCCCACATTGCCCCAGATTAACACACACACACACACACCAGGGTCGCTGCCTTAGGTGCTAATACTGTACTGTACAATTTTCCAGCTCAGCGCCACGATATATGGGAGGTCCAGGCTTCACCGCCTCTCTTGCTACCGCTTACCTGGATTGTATTTCAGGGTCACGTTGCGGTGTGGTGGTGGAGAGCCTTTACCTGTGGTTGGTTTCTTCTGTTTCAACCTGGTAGGCTAAACCCGACTTGTGTTTCAGTGTCACTTGGTAGTTTGATGAAGAGCGAATCAATAGTTTCTCCTCGTTTGTGTGGCTTGTGTTTCAAGGTTGTTTGTCTTATAGCTGCCCTTACCTGGACTTTGTTACCTGAAGGAGGAGTTTGGGATCACCTAAGAAAATACACCCCAGTTTATTTCATCCAAATATTAACCATTCTAACACTACTTGGGGGAAGGGGGTGAAGTTAGGTGAGGTTGGTTAGTTTTTAGGTGAAATAAAGTGGGGTGGATATTCTTCAGGTGAGCTGTAGTTTATTCAAATTACCTGGAGATTTAACCCTAATTAAC